AAACACCTGAAAGTAGCCAGAAAGAGCTGCCAGTGCTTTGGGTTGTAAGTCGCACACTCTGGGCCATACCCTAAACACAGGGTACCCTGGGGTCTGTGTTGCTTGGAGAAATGTTTGGCCCAGGACAGACTGTTCAGTTTGCCAAGCTGACCTCTTATCGCAACATCTTGGACTCACCTGATTGGCATGGTGTATCTTGATTTGATCTGTTTGTACTCTGGCCTCGTCATCTTCTCCAGAAAGACCAGGCTCACAGAGGAGAAGACCATCTCTCCCCATCAAGTTCTGTCTGCCTCTCTCACTGCCCCTTTGGGGAAGTGACGTGATGCTGGCCTGCACGTGGCAAGGAGCCTTCTCCTTGATTGTTCTGACCATGTATTTGGTGACCTAATGGCTGTTCTACTAGGCAAGTGGAGAAGAGGGAAGGAACACTCACTTCTGGGTCAGTGGTGCCACAAGGGAAGAAACTTAGTGATTCCTGTGAACAAGTAAACAGCTCAGGAGGATTCTGGTAAAGTCTTGCAGCAATGTATGAAACTATTCCAAAGGGCAAAATGGCCACCCTGAGTCTCTTAGCTGACCTGACCACCTCCCCACTCACCTAAGATTTAGTGCCAAGGACCAAAATCAGAGCAGAAGCGTCAGCAGTGTGGAGAGAGCAACCTTACTGCCTTCCCTGGGCACCTGCCGCACACAGGCTGGGTTGCTCACTTGATGGATCTTACCTCTTACACACGTTCCAATAACTCTGTGGGACAGGAGTAAGCAGGCCAGTTGTGTAACGTTAGGACCCAGTGCAGTAGGAAAGTGTGGTGCTCTTGTTCAAAAAGTTTCAAGAATTCAAAGACATACACACTCACATGCTCACACACATGCACACCTTTCAGAGCTGGCAACTGAACCCGGGGTCTTTACACTGAACTGCTTCCCCAGCCTTTTCTTTATCTTTGCTTTTCTTTACTTTTTTGAGACAGTTTCACTAAGTTGACCAAACGTGGCTCCAACTGGCTCTCCTTCTGCCTCAGCCTCCCAGACTTCTGAGATCACAGCCTGTGTAACCATTCCCATGTAAGCACAGGCCGTTCTGTGTGCGGGCTTGTGTGAAGATGCAGGTGGTGTACCCCTGAGGCTAGCCATGGGTTTCAATACACCACAAGTACATCTCTGTTACGGATGGAAATACAGAGGCTTAGAAAGATTAAGAGCTTGCACCGTCTCTGTTTAGCAGACCCGAATTCCTATACCCCACGGTCTGAACCCAGAGATAACTTTCTAGCTTTTTTCTTTCCCGCTTCCCTGTGCAGGCCTGTGTGGGAGACTCCCCAGGCTGGGCTGAGAGATGCCACTTGGCTGAGGAAGCTGTTGGCTCAGCCGGGTTTCATCTGCATTGGCAGAATCTCCAGGACAGGAGGCCAGCAGAGATAAGATTGCCCAGATTTCTCTAAGTTGAAGTTGTCACATCCTTAGGCCCAGCCCATGTCCCCCGGCTTCACCCATTTTCCTCATACAGATGTGCCTGATCGGCTTTTCATGTGATATTCTAATCGGAGAACATCAAATGCTTCTCCAGTCTTACCACTGAAAGTGAGCAGACCCCTGACGAGTGACTGATTTGGTGGGGGCTCCCTTCTAGCTATTTTCCTGTTCCACTCATGTTCATGACTAGGAAAGGCCTTGTTTCGTTCTTCTCACAATTCACTATGATATTGACTGTGACAGTCTCCCTCTTGGAAATACTTAGAGAAAAATGAAGTGTCAAGATCCTTTTGTTACAGTTATTTATGCCCCCTTGGGCCTATCCTTATCTCCAGGGATGCAAATTCAATATGGATAAATATCCAGGGAAAAGTGGGAAAAAATGTATAGTCAGTCCTAGGGAGGACTAGGGAGGACTGGAAGGCCCTGATGGGACCCTCTGTGACACTCTGGTTTTGAAATATACCAGATTGAAACTGTGTGTCTTGGGACAGATTTCTTGGCCTCTCTGAGCCTAAGTTACTTCACTGAAATAGGGACCATGGTGAATTTACTGAGAATTAGCTAATTACGATAAGTGAAAATGCTTCCAAAGTGCAAAACTGCGCAAACAGGAGGTAAAATTACCCTTGAGTAAGAGTTCCTGATGTCTGAGGGCTTTTTGTTCATTTGCCTCCTGTTTTGTTTTGTTACTGGTGACTCCCAAAAGGTGATGCTACACAGCAGCTATCTCAGTGGACCTGTGGGCCTGGGCCCTGTTGTGAATTGACGTCTCTTGGTGAGGGGGGGCTTTTGAAACCCACCTGTCCTCTAGCTTCACCCCGAGAGACTCATACGCAACTGGCCCGGGAGAGAGCTGAGGCACTGGTGCTCTTCATCACCGTCCCTGTGACTTGTACAAGCAGCCAAGGTCAAGGAGTAGGAAGCTCCTGGAATCCAGGGTAGCTGCTGCCTGCTTAGAAGTTGCCTGGTTTTGGGTAACTTTAAGTCCCTAGTTTCCTCTGTAGCCAAATTGCAGTAAGAAAGTATTTTACTACCCACACATAAATGTTAAAGGGCAATTGGAGTGTCTCAGGCTGGAGGGTACACACACGGCCCCCGGTCTGGCCTCTGCAGTGTGGAAGCTGAGCCTCCTGTCTGCACACCCTCACCTGTGTGACTATGGGAACCTGTGGCACCCCGGTGGCTGGCTTGCGGCTGACAGTGCTATGACCCACAATGTCTGCCCCTTCTGTTTCCTCCTCTTACGGACTCTCGAGCAAGCAAACAGAAAGGTCTGGACAGATCCCTTCCTAGACACAAAAGCCCCTGGCTCATCTTCCTGGGGTCCAGTATCTGCATCCATTCCTTAGGGAGTGTCTCATGGTTGCTCTTTCCTAGGGCTTTCTGGCCCCACCAATGCTAGAGCAAAACACAAGGATATGGACATCGAGAACAAAACATGGTTCCTTCTCAGGAAGAGCATCCTGCTGTAGCAAAACACCCAGTAGATTACCGGGTAGACGGTGGGCCTTTGCCCTCTTCCCTTTTCATCTCTTTCCTTTCTCTCTGAGAGTGATAGCTCCCCAGGCTTCCACAGAGCAGGGCCCTAGCTTCAATGTGAGGTGCTAGCTGTTAGGTAAGGGGGGCAAGTGTGACTTCTAGCACATGTAGGCCAGGGAGATGGAAGAGATCATTGAGATACGTTCAACACAAGCCCCGAGAAAAGATCATCAGCCTACAGAAAACAGGTAAAGAAATAAATCCTCGCTGAAGGATGAAAGAGGGCGGTTGCTTTTATCAAATCCTGGAAACTTGTGATTTGCCCTGGGGTTTTACTTTCACCAAATGTTCATATGGTTTCTGGGAAAGGCCAGATGGTCTTTCTTTCTGTGTCTTTTGATATCTTCGGTTCTTTGTGTATCTAATTATGCTTGAAGGCAGGAAGGCCAGTTGAACGCACCTGGCCTTTGGCTTGCAGGGAAATGGACGGCTCCATGAAAATTTGCTTTTGCTTTGGGGTTCCCAATAGTGTGTGTGTCTCCCCCCGACTTTCTCTTCCCCACCCATTGGTTATGTATGTGTTTTGTGTGGAGTTTTTTGGGTTTGTGTGTGTGTGTGTGTGTGTGTGTGTGCTTAGTACAAGAAAGGAGCATTCACCCCTCCAAGTCCATTCATATTTTCCCTGTGGGGCCTGGTTTTGTTGATTCACATGATTGAAATGTGTAGACTCTGCTGTAGTGGACCTTTCTGCTGTTTCTAAAAGGTGACACATCCAGACTGAATTGAGACCTAGACCATTCCTACCCATGTATGCAGTGGGATAAGAAGCTGTCCCAACTTTGAGAAGCACTCTACATTTCAGCACATGAGCTGGCCTTGTAGTCCACAGCATGTTCAAGGAGGAGTCTGTTTCCTTGGGACGGCTGCTGTCCTCCATGCCACTGCCCTCCCGAAGGCTGCTGTAACGAATGTCATGGCTCACTGGCTCCCCACTGACCAACCATTTGTGCCCAGTACGTTTATCAGAGGTGGCCTTGAAGAGAACAGGGAGACTGCTTGGCTTAGACAGATGTGTTTCAGGAATACACTTTGTGGAATGCAGAAGTATGGAGATTTCAGTGGACTCTTCTGTAAAATTCTAAAGCTACTACCTGAGAACCCTGATTACAGCTCTCATTTTTCCGCATGGGGACAGCCTATCTCATTTATTGAAAATTAGCGAAGGCAAGGCATTATTCCAAGCACTTAATGTGCATTTCCTTAAGAAAAAACATGGAAACTTCAGGAAGTAACTGCTCTCATTATTTCCATTTGACAGGAACTGAAGTGAGAGCTCCGAGCATGTAAATAACTTGGCAAGTTTACCCACAAAAAAAAGTTAGGGAGATGGAATTTGAACTCCTGTCTCTCATTCCAGAGCGTGTCCTCCTAGTCATCATTGTTCTTTCTCCATAGTTGGAGCAGACTAAAATATTTTATGCAGTCACATGTGTTCTTCCTCAAGAAATAGTCAAAGAAAATCTTAAAAATCAAACTTGGGAACCAACCAATATATCAGAAAATTGGTTCCGCTACAAAACAATAGAAAATTCCTAAATAACAAGGGATTAAAAAACATAGGAGCCTTTTTCTTATTGTGAAGGAAGTTTGCAAATACTAATTTCATCATAGACCCAGGACCACCACTCTTTTTCTATCTTCCTGCAAGTCGGCTTTTAACTCAAGGTGACTTCATGGTCCTGTGTACCTGCCAGCAGCAGCTGTCATACACAAACATGGGCAGAAGTAGAATTCAAGGAGATCCAAAATGTCTAAAAGGCCAAATATATGAAATCTCTTCACGAACACTTACTTTAATCAACTTATAAGTGTACTAAGCAGCCTCTCCTGAAATACATATGACTAACCAAACTGGTTTGTCTCAGTACAAAGGAACTTTGGGAACTGTGCATATTGAAAAGCCAGAGTTCTGCTTGCTAGGAGAGACTCAATATGGGGAGATTACACTTAATCTCCATCTCATCCAGCACAACTGAGTTTACCTCAATGCATGCAGGTCCTCTGGCTTCCCATGGCATCCGCTTGAGAAATCTGCAAGAGATGGGGCTGTGTTCACAACTCCTGGTCTCTCCCCTGCCCCATGAGCCCATTATAGTCGCAAACACAAATGGTCATGGCCACCATCTCACTCCCCCGTCTGCCTGCCTGACCCCAGACAAGGAGAGCAGGTGCTCAGTGATGTCATCCCTGCTATTGAGAGTGACACCAGCACACCCCAGAGTCTGGTGTCTACAGACAAGTCAGGGTTGTGCTAGGCACCGTGCAAGCATTATTTTGGTGCACTTGCCGCAAAACATAGACACAGTTTTATGAGCATATAGATCCCAAGGTTGCTTCCCAGGATCTAAGTTTCTGGTCTCAAATGGATCTCCCATTAACTTATTCCTAAAGCAGAATTCAGCTGTTTATTCAGAAACACAAAGACATTTTGTATTTTCCATGCGGGATAGATTGTGATTCCACCTTCCCCTGCAGTTCAACAAGTAATGCTGATTTTCATGGAAGGCCCAGACAAGCAAGCAGCTAGGTACACTTAGTAGACACCCATGAATTTGGTCCGCATCGAAGCAGACGTGGCTAGGAGAGTAAGGATCCACTCTGAGTGGGGACAGAGCCTATTGAGAAGCTGGGAGGTTGCTCACCTCTCAAGGTCATGTTTCTCCAGAGAACCTTCTCTTAGCTCTGGGCCTTCAAGCTTGTTAAATCCGAGCTGCTCTCCAGGCTGATAGGGAGCTCTGTTGGTCCTTGAGGCTGGCAGATGGCACCTACTGTTTACTGAATCATGACGAGACTGGGGTGCATCTCTAGGAACATGAGTCCAGTTCTTGCTGGCAGAGTATTTACAGTCAGACAGAGAGAGGGTGAAACCAACTCCCACTGAAATGCAAGTGGAGAGAGTTGCTCATGTTACCCTTCCTGAAGGAATTTAAAAAATAACTTGCCCCAGGCCGCCCAGGCAGCCACGTATATGAGAAATGCTTTGAAGTTCCTCAAGGCATTCTAAAGGGTGGCCAGGACTGACAATCGCAGTGTTAGGCAAATGCCAATTTGTATGCTCACTGGTGTCCTTGGGAATCACAGCTACGTTTACATTGGATTTTACAGATTCTTCTGATGGGCCTCTTCCCCGTGAGCTCCTTACGGGGCAAGATAGCACTGGGAAATCTATGTTTGAGAAGCAATTGAAATATGCAGCTTTAAAGTCTGAGAAGGGCTGGTACTATGGTGGTACAGTGCATGCCTAGCACACTCGAGGCCTCACAACAAATATCAGCAACTGAAGTATGAGATATCTGGATGGATAACTTATCCTCCGTGCTTATTACGGTGGTGACACCTGTGGGCCATGACTTCCCCTTTCAGACCAAATTTCCTATGACATTAAATGTACCTATGTCCCTAACCTCAGAGAGAATGCCAGCATTACTGGCAGAAAATAATTATTTCTTACTGTTATTGCCCTTATGGCCTGAGATGTGGATGAGATCATGAACTATGGCCTTTGTAAAAAAACAAAACAAAACAAAACAAAAACACTGACGGCAAAAGGTGTTGATTTCATGCTTTTTTTTTTTTCTTTCTTTTCAATACTGGGGATCGAACTCAGGACCTTGCACTTGCCAGGCAGGCACTGTGCTGCTGTTGGTACTGCTTTCATTAGATCTACACGAAATGAGTGAAGTCTCTTCATGGTCCCCTTTCGGTGTTCTGCAGTGGACCCTACGTGCCTGCCTGCGAGCAGTGCAGCCACCTGCTGATGATGGGTGCTCGTTATTTAAATTGGTTTTTAGTGATTTCCGGTGAGAAGATTCAAAGGCAGTGAGGCGGGTTGTAAACTCAGTTGTGCTCGAGGTTTCGTGTCTTGCTGATCTGTAGGCACTGTGCTGCATCAGGGAGAATGTTGTGCTCGAGGTTTCGTGTCTTGCTGATCTGTAGGCACTGTGCTGCATCAGGGAGAAGTTGCTGTGGGATTCGGTCCGGTGCATGCAGCAGGGAAAGGGTCTGAGGCTTGCAGTCATATCAACAGCTGAGCTGTCCACAGGCCTGGCTTTCCGAGATGTAAGTATGAGTTAGGCCTTCCCATGCTGACCCTCCCTTTGTTAAGAATTTCCTGTGTTCCTGCTCTGTGCCCTTCCACTTGCAAGTTAAAGCTGCCCCCGAGAACATGTTTTATAGCTCAACAAAGAATGCATGTTTCTAAATGCAACCTCAGTGAGTCACTTTGCTTTTCAGAATTCAGAATTGCTTAATTATGTCCCAAGATGGGTCTTTATGTCAAATACCTCCCTGTTTTGCTTCTGGAGCTGTATTGCAAATATTAACTTGCTTTGTGATTGATTTTAGGCTAAGCATGTAGCCAAAGTGAGCTTATTTAATGAGTCAGTGCAGCTAAATGATCTGGCCTCGTGGCAAATAGTAGGTGTTTAATAAGTGTTGATTGCTAACAAACACCATTGCTAACCAGTGCGAAAGAACTGAGCTTATAACTTTAATTCTTAGAGAAATTCTTAGGGGGAAAATCCTGGTTTTTAGTTGTGGTTTTTGTGTAGCTGGAAAAGAATGGCGTCTGCAAAATAATTACACACAAGTCTTAACACCACGAGCCCGACCTTGGAGGGTTTTTACCCAGCACAGGGCCACAGGGCCGTGCAGGGGTCTGTTTGTGTTGCTGTGAGCTGCTGCTTCAGAGAGTGCATTTGCCTTTTGTCAGAATGTCAGAGAGACCCGCCTGGGGAGCGCAGTGATGCTAATGATAAGGTCTCTGGGCTGCAGGCCCAACCACTGCAGTGGCGGGGCGGTGATGTCATGGGGACAAAGGAACGTTATCTGTGAGGAGAATAAATCCTGCTGTGGAGTCGGGCTGCCCACCATTCTCGGGGCTTATTTTAGAGCCGAATGAAAGCAGGCAATTATCATGTTCCTTAACTATAATCAGCTGAACAGGATGCAGGTAGCCACAAAATGGAGTTATTTAAAACAGAACAGAATCACTTCAAAAAGGGTAATAATCTGGAAGACTTTCTGCACCATCTACTTAAAGCTATCTACATGTGGAAAAGATAGGGAAGTCTTCCTCTGTAACCTTCGCAGAGGTGAAAGTATCAGAAAGTCTCCTTTGCAAAGTAAAAGACGGAGGCTCCTACCTGGGCACTGCTCCCAAGGAATTCAGTTTGGCCCCAGCAAGTAGGATTAAGTTTGAAATGACCCAGGGAGAATCCTGAGGGTCTCGCCCCTGTCCATCTGGGTGGTTACCATGGTAAGGGACACTGGCAGCCCAGCCCGCTGATCTTGTGAGCCAGCTGGTCCCTCCTGGCTGGGAGACTCCTAGATGGTTCCTTGGCTTGAGGCACACATTGATTCTGGATTATTAGTTATCGTGAGACCTTAGTAAGCAGGATTTCCTGTGTGATTCCAGTAAGACCCTGGAACCGGGCACAGGTCTGAATTCTTAGCGTTTCCAAGGATCTTCCTGGGCCTGCTTCTGAACAAAAGCTGAACCGAGATGAATTCACCGCCCCCCCCATAATTGTGTTCACTAGGGTTAGCTGGATAAACCTGGGAACATTATTTGGGTGACTAAGATTTGGTTTATCCTCTAGAAAATGAGAATGATTAGAATCTGTCTTGTAAGGATGCACTCAGAAGAGTGCCTTGTGTAAAGCTGTTGCAAAGATAGAATACAATAGACAGCTGTAGTTAACTGCGGTCTTTGGCTGGGTGCCCAGGGACAGACGTTCCTGTGGCATCACCTAATAACCCTTCACAGCTTCTGAAGGTGCCTGGTACTGCCGCAACAAGCATGAATTTCACTCTACGTTTCATATGCCAATGAGCTAAGAAAGCAAGACCCATCTATCTTCCAGCCAGCTGGGCAAAGCCTGGATTGCTTCCCACTGCATTAAACACCAAACACCATGTCATTATTTAATAGTGGCAATGAAAACTATACTAATGATGATAACAGAAGCTGCAGCCCTGCCTCCTGTTAGACGCCAGGCACTGCACTAAATGCAATGCACCGATGACTTCTGTTGCCCCTCCAAATATGAGGTTAATCCTCTTAACCTCATGCTCCTGTCACTGAACTCTGGCACAAGGTGCAGCTGTGAGGACGGTGGGACGAGGATGAGCCAATACCAGTGCTTGCCAAAGCGTAGGCTGCCCTTGTAGCGACAGAGTGCCTGCACAAGTCCTTTGGGCAAGGATAAGACAAGTAGCACAGAGGCCAAGTCAGGGATTGGTTAGAGTTGTCTGCTGTGTGTGCAGTTGATTTTGTGGCCTATCTGGGCACATTTCTGTGAGAATGGCTCCAAGTCTAATGCTTGACCAGTTCACAGTTCTTCTTTCTGTTTGCATAAGCAGTACTCCTTGCTTGCATTGGATCAGGAAAAAAGCAAGGGTACAAGGAAGGAGAAGTACTTTGTTGGAGGGGCTTTGGGGATCCCTGGGGTTCCCTTGGGCTTTACTGCTGGAGGAATACTGTGTTCTGTTGGGTCAGGAGCTGGCTTCCAGGTGTGGCCAGTTTCCTGAGTGGTGCCCATGGTGGTCTGTGTTTAACCTTCACCTTATTTTTTCCTTTTTTTTTGTACCATGGATCCAACTCAGGACCTTGAGCTTGTGAGGCAGGTGGCAGCACCACTGAGCTAAATCCCCACCCCTCTGCACCTTATTTTCCAGATAGGAACACCTTCACATCACATTTTGCAGCTAACCTCTCAGTTCTGTCACCATTTGTCCAGGATATGTGCAATGAGGCAATCGCTCGTGCGTTCAGCCTTTAAAAACTGAATCCCTTTTCCATGCAGAAGGCTTTGCTAGGTTCTAGGAGTAAGCCTAAGATAAATCCTACATCTCTTCTCACAGGGAGCCTTTATTTTAGACTTCCTTCTAAGCACAGCAGTAAGGCCACTCAGCTTTAAACACCGTGTTCTTCTGGAAAGGAATTCCTCTGGGAAGAATTTCATATAGACATTTAGGAGTACTTGAATTAAACTATATAAAGATTTTATTTCGCAGCTGCTGCATGAGTCAGGCTGGTCTTTAGGTGTCTCTGCAATGGGCTACTAGGGAGGGAAGCTGGAGGGTACAGGTCTCCTTTTGCTACAACTTCTGAGTATGGAATGAGGCACTTGTTTTTGTGAAGTTTCTGATGGCGAATACCTCAGTTATAAAGCAATACATTTAGAGCTACAGTTTTATCACAGTGAATTTTTTTAAAAAGTCCACTTTCTTGTCTCATGAAGTGCACAGTTTTAGAATAATATAATAAGCTGTTGTGGTGGCAGTGTGCGATTGGAGGGCATGGATCGAGATTACAGGCGTACCTTGGTTCTCTACTTACTTGAAACTCGTCTAATTTGGTACTCACGTTTTGATGGAAGTTTTGTCCTAGATTTGGTACTAGAGATACAAGCTAGAACTTGTTGCTTTTGGTACGGTTGCACCTCCCAGAACCAATAAATGATGAGTACCAAGAGAGCCCTGTACCTGCTGTGAGCCAGTTGGCTCCCCACAAATTGTCACAATGCTATGCTTGCTTGTTCCAGGCCTGTTTACTGCACTTTGAGAAAAACAGATGTTCTTGCTGTTTTTTAACACCCAGTGGCCTTTCCGAGGCCTAATCCATCGTGATTCCAACCACGGCCCAAATCCGCTCCCCTAGAGTGTTCTCCCCTTGGACTGTCTCGGTACACGGCAGCCATCTTTGTTTTAGACTGAGGTAACAGATGCATCAAGTGAGGGGGCTTCTCATTACCCTCTGTCCTTCCCACTACCTCATTCTCTTTGTCCTTCAGGCTCTATGTGGTGACGTGACTATCTCCAGCGGTGGACTCCGCCATGTTCCTCACTTGTCATTCGCTCCTCCTCAGGCTTCCGTTGTGCTTGTGCCTGTGGAACTTGAAGATTGTGCCGGTTCAGACTACTGTGATGCAACAGCATGGGGCCCCACATTCTCACTGAGCTAAGCTCCTGTCCATTCTGTCCTACAGAATTACCCTTTATGACTACCAAGCCATGTGCAGAGCCAACAAGGAGAGCAGCGACAGTGCCCACGGACTCCTGGATGTGAGTACAATCAAGTCTCTTGCTCAGAAGACAGCTGCACATTTCTGACTGTATCTCCTTCCTTAGGGTAGTCAAGTTTATCTGTTTTCTAAACCATAAATATTTTAAAGGTGTTTCCTGACTTGACGTATTAAGAAAGGCTACTTCTGTTTAAACCTAAATCTGGTGATTATATGAATGAAAACCCCGTCTAAAGTCTTTGATGGATGAATCCAATGGCTCCGTTCTGATTTGAAAAAGCAGAGAATTTTTGTCAATTCTCTCTTTATTAGATAAAAGAGAATTTGATTTCTTTCAGTGGAAATCTTTTTTTTATGTTGACCATCTTCTTTATTTTTTTTCCTCATTGAGTTTATAGGTACATTTTAGGTCTACACTACAGTTACATTCATTTTGGGATCTTGTACCTTTACATGACAGGTCTTGGTTCTCATTTTTTCCCCTTGTCCCTGCCCTCCCTTCACCCCTCCTCCCCTCCCCCTTTACAAACACTTCATTTCCATTTTTTCGTTTTCTTATATTTTTTTCTTTTCCCTTATTAGCTTTCCCCTACCCTTCCCACTTTCCCTACACCTTTAGCCCCTTTCTTCCTATTTCACATTGTCCATTATATCATTAGGATCTTATGTACTGTTATAGTTTATTCAGACCAGAGAAACTATTCAGTATTTACACATGTGTGACTTACTTATTTCACTTAGGAGTATATCCTCAATATGTATCCATTTTCCTATGAATGAATCTAATTTCTTATTCTTTATGGCTGAGTAATATTCCACATTTGCCCATCATTGGAAACTGGATGAAGAAGGTGTGGTTTTTCTATAAAATGGAAATCTTCTTTGTGGCTTAGAATCCTGTAGAGCTCTTCACTGACAAGCACATTGCCAAATCGATGGGAGGTGCTCTGCCGATCATACTCTGCTGAGTTAAGAGAGGATGTCCCTCGCACTGGTTCTGTTGGTGATGTCACAACTGAAGATCAGTCAACACAGTAGTGATAAGAAACTGGCTTTCAGACTGCCAGATAGTAGCTGCTATAATTGACTGTAACTTACAACTGGCAGGGTTTGAGCCTCGGGGTGTTTGAGTACTGGCCTGGAATCCCAGCTGCTAGGGAGGTTGAGGCAAGAAGAGTGAGTTAGAGGCCAGCCTGGGCAACGAGGGAGGCCCTGCCTTAAAAAGGCACATCCCATGTAAGTGTAGCCGCCAATTACCTAACACGCAAGAACAAATAACAGCAAAACAGATACAGTATACCTCTTTCTGGTCCACATACATATAAATGCAACTTTTGCAATGGTATTATTTTTTAAATACTGAAAAACTAAAATAAATTTGGTTTAAAATATAATACTTAAAAGCAATTTTGGCCCCATAGACTGAAAACTTTATGAAAGGAATTATTTAAAAACCACATACTTAACATGCTTCTCCTGTACTGAGGGAACAAGAAGTGGTTCAGAGCTGAACATTTACACAGCAGCAAGTGAGAGTAGGACCTTTTGAAAAACACTGGTTTTCAGTAAGACTAGACAGTGTCTTTCCAAACCCAGCTTCCCTAACTTAACACAAATATTTCCAGGCTTAAAATGTTCCCAAGATATATTTTCATCATTAGGCTTAAAAGTTCAATAGCTTCATCCTTTTGAGGGGTAATGTGCATTTAAATATTTTAATCCCATATTTACATAATCCCTTTGTTTGCTCACTCACTGAGCCAAGGTCTGGCAGGGAATGTGTGAGCACCTTTGCCCCTGGCCTGGGGTCCAGCTGCCTGTGTGCCAACCCTTCTAAACTGTTCACCTACCCTCTTCCTTCTGCCCGACATTACCCACCTCAGCAGGTACAAAGACAGGGCTGTCCCGTTCCCTGACTACTTTTGGAAAGATGATTTTTTTTTTCAAGCCATAAAATGCAACACCCAAACCATGGAACTCCAAAGTTGTATCTGGTTTTAGAAAATTGCTTGGGTTCACGTCTTATCTGACCCTCATTCTGGGAGCCCAGAGCCCTCTGATTCAGGGGATGGTGTTGAAGCACTCAGTTAAATCAGAGCAAGGGATTCAGAAGCTCTGGAGTCTGGGCTGAGAGCAACCCTGGTTGATGGTTTTCTTCTGTCATTGTTTTTGTTCTGCCCATTTACTTTGTGGCCCAAAATAGGAAAGTTTCGAGAATGCTTAGGGGAATATAAATTCATTTTTGTTTTATTTAAAGCTGGAAAATTCCGCCATTCCAAATTCTAGTCCCTACAATTAAAATGCTCAGAAAGTAGGATTAATCAACTCTCGCCTCAGAAAGCAGAATTTGGCCTGTGTTTCAGTCCCATGATAAAGACAACTACAAAAGGTGCTGGGGCTTTTTAGGGCCTGACATCTGGAGGCCAGGATTCGCCAGTGTCACTGCCTGTCCCTCAAGTTCACCCATCACTCACACATCTGACACACCTAGGTACAAAGGACCGGCTGGCAAGGGAGACCTGGTATTTTTCAGAGTTCAGGAAATTGAATTATCCTCATAGGAAATATCACAGAATAAACAATCCAACTGCTTTTTTTAATTAAAATATTCTGAAATAAAGATTAGGCTGTCAATGCCGTCTTTTGTAGAGTGAAGGTGATTTTCTGCAAGCATAAAAATCTCATGTTTATATGGTTATCATTTTTTCAAGTTCACATATGTAAGTGTGAGAAAAGGCAGCTTAAATCCTACATAATTCATGGAAGGCATTAAAATCAAGTGTGTGCAATTTGTGTTATTTCGGTGAATGACATACACTGATGGAGAACAGAAAGAGAACTCTGAATTACCATTTAAAATTAGTTAGATGATTCCAGCCCCTCACATTAGGCTGTGAAATATTAGCCCCCAGAGGGTAAAGGTTTAAGCATCATTTGCTGAACTTCCTTTTTCCTCCCAGTGATAACCCTTGTATTAGATCTTGTTTATTTTGCTTGTAAATCACATCTTACTACAGGGAGTTCAAAGTTTTAAAATGTTAGTTTTGGGATACGATATCCAACCATTTGCTTCCTTCAGCTAGAGTGTCACTGTTTTCTAACATGATATCAATCTCTCTAGAAGAATAACGTTGTCTTTCTGTAAAGGCTTAAACTACAAACATTGTGGGAGATTCATTGTTTTTAATGGATTGAATCCTTCCCTTCAGCCTTACAATGCCTTCCTCTCTGCTGTGAAATGGATAATGACAGAACTTGTCTTGTAAGTACAATCCATTACATTTTCTAAAGTAGTATTATTTTTCTATTAAGCCAATTGGAAGACTGTGCTTCATACTTTCAGTAACCCTTAGCTTTGTAATACTCTGAGATATTGTTATTGAGTATCTCAAAACATTGAACAAAGAGACCAGAAAATTATCTTTCAGTAAGGTTTTCGTGATTACTTCCCATGCTCTTATGTCATTGTTTAACAGACTAACAGCTTGCAATACACACACCAAATGTATTTATTGTGGTTGCTGTTAAATTTAACATGGATGTCTGCTGTTTTAATGCAGCCTGGGTGGGCTGTGGTCAGAACACACTGCCGTAGCTGTCCGCGGGTGCTTGGGGTGTCTCGGCTGGTGTACATGCTGTGGCTTGAGCTCGGGTCGGGGGCTCTTCTCAGGTGTGATTTCACTGTTTACCCTGTCAGAGCCTGGTCCTCTTTGGAGGATGCTGTGTGCTCTGTGACCTAGGTCAGACCCTGTAATGATGTGAAGAGGAAAGGTTGACTTGCAGACCAGAAACACATTACAGAAACCCCTGTGCCTCACACATGCACCAATGGGTGTCAACCAGATTGGTGAAGTTCTGTCAAATGCTCTCACTGTTACTTTGCCGGGCCATGGCTCCAATTCTATGGGCTGAAGGCAGATTCCCTGTCATTCAGTACATAAACATTGTCCCACTAAAAGACATCTTTTTTTAAATTAAAGCCTACATTAACAATGTTTATAAATTTAAAAGGGGAGCAAGTACTTCATACATATATGAGACAGAGAAAATGAATACCAGTAAATGGCAGGGTTTTAACTGAGAGGGAGCTGCTATAAATGGCAGCCATGAGGCTGAAAAATAAATGACTTGATTTTGATCCCTCTCCATTTATTTGGAAAGTGATATCAGTTCTGCATCCTTTACTAGAAATTCAGAAATTTTTATTTTTTTCAAAGTTAAATTGTAGCATGATATTATAAAAAGACATTTATGTCTGCCCCCTTGCATATACAAGGCAGAAACAAGTTTGAGCTGCAGTGCGAATTTTGAAAGTGTCCTCTATCACTACAGACCCTAGTCTGGGTAAAGGAGAATATTCTATTTTTGTATCTGAACAAGGCAGGAGAGTCCTTTAGAAATTGGTTATTTAGTGTGGGATCCAGCCACATGGTTAAGAGTGATAAACAAGCTAGTAACTAGAAGGCTGTTTCTGCCCAGGCAGCAGGATCTCCCTCAAAGTGGAGTCCAGGGATGGGCTCGCATACGTGGAAAACTGGCCACGCATAAGGATAAAGCCTGCTGGAACGGCAGTGGGAACTCATCCCACCGTGTGGTGTCTCTGGGGTGTGGTGCTGTTCTCTCCAGGAAGATGAGCAGTGCTGGACAGCGGAGCTGTCGCTGTTTGAGCAGGGGAGTGGATAACCGAGTAACACTTTCCCCCATCTGTCTAGGTTCCTGGTGGAATTTAACCTCTGCAGTTGGTGGCACTCTGACATGACGGCTAAAGGTAAGCAGCACCTGGTTTCTCTTTTCTAGTCAGAGCGGTAAACCCTGGGTGCACAGGCTCCTTTTCATCGGGGATGTGCCAACTCACATGAAACTACCCAAAACCAAGTGATGATTTTTTTTCAGCCCCATCAGCCAAAA